TCTTATGGGTTTTTTTTTTACCCCTCAGAACATCTAACGCCTAAGCGAGACAAAGCTAAACAATACTTGTTCTTTTTTAAAAAACAGCTATATATTCTACTGCAGCTATTTAAATATTTACCTTGTTTATTATGGTGAAGTGTAAGCTTCTTAAGAACAACAATGATTTCAGATTCACGTTTCTTATCTCTACTTAGCACAGTGCATGTTAAAAAATAGTTCTTATCCCACTTTACTGTAAAAAGGATAGCACCACTCTCTTGAAATCATTACCAAGACAGGCAGTGCCTCTACTGAACAAAAAGACCATTCTCTTAGTTGTAGAAAAGAGCCATGCCAGGATGCTGAGATTTGTACTTGACCTATAAAATTAAAAAAAAAAAAAAACTACTTGGAATTATTTTGAGAGGGGTAAATATTATAGAGTTTATTAAATTACTTTAAGAGAAAATAATAGCTAATATAGAGCAAGCATCTACCATATGTCACACACCACGCTAAGCACTTTACATGGATTATCTCATTAAGTACTTACAGAAACCCTAGGACTTTGCTACTATTTTTATCTCTAATTTACAGTGGAAGCAAGTAAGGTTTAGACAAGTTACATAACTGACTCAAGAATCCAATCATTAATTAGTGGTGGGATTTGAACCGGGATTAACCTATTACGAGAGCTTAAGGTAGTGGAAAACCTTGGCCATTTTCCAGTGTACAGATTCAAGACCAGGCTCCTTTAAGATAAGAAATATCTACTACAGCAGAAAAGCAAAGATCTCTTTTTATTTAGACACATTGACTCTAGCTAAATATAAGAAAATCTTCCAGTATTCAGAAACACCTTTTACATTGTGGCAAACACAAATATCCTGTTCATATGGCCAGCGAGCACTTATTCAGGAGGCCCCTGCATGCTTCCTACACAATATCACAACGAGGTGACTGTCTTACCAGAGTGTATTCATGCCATATAATAGGTGCTGTAGATACTTCACACATATTTCTGTACTACATGATGAACTATTAACTTTTATAATGTCAGTTCTGGAGTAAACCTTAATAATTGCCATTTAGTCATCTGAATTCATATAATTTCAATTGATCAAATGTCCTGCAAAAGCTGTTCTATGGTTTACAAGTGCACACACACATACACACAGACACACACACACGTACACAAACCAAAAGAACTGATCCCTTACAAAGAACCCAGGACATATTTTATTATAGACCTTATAATACTCTTTCCGCATTCATGTTCTCTTCGGTTAAACTGTAAAGATCTTATCTTATTCCTCTTTTATCCTCTTTTGTCTTTTATACAGAACATGGTATAGATTAGGCACTAAATAATTACTGGAAATATATCATTTATGCATACAGCTTTTTATGATGCCATCTCTCACTCTCCAGAATCAAAGATTTTCTGCTCTATGTGTGCAAGACAAGACAGGGAGAAGAAATTATGAATATCATTGAGAACTTAAACTTCATTCACTAACCAGGTGCAAAACGTATTCAGAAAAGTGAACCCCTAACAAAATTTCTCCCTTCTGGATCAGCAATGATCACATCAAAGTCTTAAGTGTATCAGTCTTATGCCTGCCAATTTCACAAATGTATTTCAATGTTTATAGAAGTGATCATTAAACATTAATACACACATATATAGGAAGGGTCCACAGATTTCTATTTTGTAAACACAGGTGAAAATAGGCTCCTTTAAATATTTTTGTCTATATCACTTTACATTATTTAAAAGAGATTCTTGTTTGTGTATTCATATATTGAGGCAGGATCTCACTAAGGTGCCTAGGGTCAGTTCGTATTTGCAATATTTCTACTTTAGCCTCCCAAGTGCTGGAATTACAGGTGCGTACCAGCCTGCCCAGCTAAAACGAATTATTAACACCTGTATTTTTATAATACTGTATTAGAATTTATTATTTTGGTCACTCATGGTGTTTTATATCAATCTACAGAACTGTTCTTAACACACTAGCAGAACATTAACACATAAACATTCTAAGCACTACTATTGTTAAAAGGACACTTCTTTTATGACTGAACCTTATACTTAAGTTTTACTTTTTCCCAGAAGCAAAACCTGAATAAAAAGGGAGAAATATAGGAAATGTTCAAATGATTTCCATAATCTAATCTCTGCTGCCTGGCTAAAAACAATGGCTTTTTTCTCAATGTATAATTTTTTTGAATTGATTATTAACCAAAGAAATAAATATGTAATAATTCTTCTGTGCAGAAGAGGCCATATGTGAATTCAATAACCAAAGAGCCAAACATATCCACACTTAGTTATTTCTGTCCACACATGTACTGTGTGAAACTGAACTACAGTAGCATAAATATCAGACCAAGAACTCTATACACAGAGAAATGATTAGTACGGTGACAGTGGAAAAGTGTGTCACCTGCTCCAACTATATTTGCCCAGAAGGATGCATACATAGCTATAATGATGAACGAGATTACTCTTAAGAAATTCACCATGAAGTATTATTGTACTTAATTTGTTTGAAAATTAACAACAAACTATCTTCTCTGTAATGACAATTTTAATTTTTCCAAGCTGTTAATGAACCAATTAAAAGAAATCACTTATTTTAATGCATGAAATAAATTCTACTTTTGGAACTATATATCAAGAGAATTTTTTTACACACAAGAACAATTGACTTCCTATATATGAGAAACAACGTCTTCCAAGTACAGTCAAAGCATGTGTTCCTCAGAACGCTCCCAAAGTCTGGGAAGTTGCACTTATGTTCTAGCGACACTAAGCCACTATGTGCCTTTGCAGTTGCTGGTGTAATGAAAGTATCAGTGGGTAAAGTGTTGATAGCATTAGCACAAATCAAGATGGGGCACAACATTATACTGGGAATCATCTTGCTTTCCCCAACTTGCAGTCACAGTAAATAATATATTGTTTCACTGGGAAGTGTCTTGATAAACTGCTGAAATTAGTTAAAAATTCGAAATCACAAGTCTTTAATATGTCATTTCAAGGCAGGGATGGAGGGGTAATGAAGCCTCTCTCGTATCTAACATAAGGGATGGGATGGTAATGTCAAAGAACAGCACGTATGAGATTGGGATGTGACAGGGAATGGCTACTCTCCTCCTGAAACATCACTTCTGTCTGAATAACCAGCTGTTTCAAAGAGATCCTAACCAACATGTTTTGGAAAAATGAAAAGTGAGCCTCTTATGTGAAGGAAAAAAAAAGGGAAACATTGACATTTATTACCAATGATAAGATTTGAACTTTTAAAGCAAAAGTTAGAAAGACTTGTGCTTATATTATTTGATTAATTTTTCATGCCCGTATCTTGTAATCTGAGCAACTATTTTGAAGATAACAATACACAACATATTAACCGTTATTAATCTCTTATTATTATGTTTTGAAATTCTGTATCGTTTTTTACAATTTTTTTCTCTTTAAAATAAGATACAGAGGGGCTAGGGATTTAGCTCAGCGCGAAAGCACCTGCCTGGCAAGCGCAAGGTCGTGAGTTCGGTTCCCGGTACCGGAAAAAAAAAATAAAATAAAATAAAACAAAATAAGATACAGATATATATATATAAAGCAAAAGTTAGTATCTTGAAAAATGTTGCCCACCATCCCAAGCTGAATAGCATTCCAATACCTAAAATGTTTTCAGCTATTAGTATGTTTGATTTATAATGATGTAAGTGTGTCAACATTTGGAAGACCTGAGTCACTTTGGTAAATAAGTATTTCCTAACTGAAGAATATGAGACATGACAAAATCACACACAGGCAGTAAAAGGTCCATCTAAAGTGAAAAAAAATAATAATAACTCTAGACATTTAGCAAAGTGCAAAATGTTCATTTATAAAGTTGTACATTCTTTATTCAGAATTATTCAAAATTAGAATTTATAAAGCTCAGGTATATTATCAAAGAAAGGCATTTACAATTATTTGAAAAGTCTATTAAAATATACCTTATTTTCCAACTATATCTGTGAAGATTAGATTTTTTTTTTTTTTTACTTATTTTACCAAGAGAATATATTATAAGAGATGGAAAGCAGAGGTGGCTATGAACATGCAGCTGTCTTCTGGTAACCTAGATATTAGAGAATTGCAAAAAACTATATTTTTCAAAACATCAGTCTCCTCAAATTATTTATACGTTTTGGGACTGTATCTTTTTTGCTTTAATTTCAATTCTACTTTATGTGATAAATAGTGGTAGGCGTAATCCACATAAACAGGAGTTATTTTGCCCCTCAATAACTATTTTAAGATCACAAATGAGCATTTAGAACAAAACATGTATGAACATTAAGCTAACGAAAGTTATTTATCTATAAATTACCATGACCCTCAAACCAAATTTTCACCCCACTCACTTCCCTAATCAAATTAAAATACACTTTTCACGTGCACACGGAAGGGGCGCCTCCAAATGCCAGGCACGCACCACGCTAATTCCCCGAAGTACAAGATGCCAAGACTTAGTTCTTGCCCTCACGTTGCTCAGAGTTTACCAAGGACAGACGCTGGGGATGGGACCCCTGGGAATTTAAGGCCCCTGAGCAGCCTGAGGCCCTGTTCTCCAAGCTCAGACTGCGACCTGCAGTGCTATCCTTAGTCTCTGCTTATCTGACTTCCTGTGCTTTTTTAAAAATTTGTTTTAGTCTCCTTCCATGCTTTCTTACATATGAAGCCACCCTGCCCTTAACAAACATGGCCACCTGTCTCCGTCTTCTCTCCTTTCACTCTCTTAACTTCATTTGTCACCTACAGAAGTTCATTTGATCCTCTTACCTGAGTGCTCCTGTCGCTGTTTGTTGTCTTCACTACCAAAGAAGGTTGTAGGGACCCACTGTATTCTTGTAACCTTTTACATAATAAAAAATTCCAGGAGGATAAAATATGTACCCATAAAACTAAACTTCAATCGTTGGTAAAAATAACCCAAGCTTACTCTTCTTAAATTCAGATTCTGCAATTATAATGAGGCAAACCACACAAGAAATTGCACGATCTCTCCTTGAGCACTCATTTCCAAATAATGAGCAACACCTACTGAAACATCACAGCAAAACTCTGAGCTAACCATAGTACGTCAACACCTTATTCCTTCACCATCGAACACTTGGGAGTAGATGAGAAAATAAAAACAAGCAGACTTCAGAGACTTGGCCAAGATCTGACATTGAGAAAGTTAATTGGACCAGCACCTCTAAAATTCATGTTGTGCATTGCTAGTTTGGGTCTCCTGTTTAGGCTGGAAAGCAGAAGGCTTTTGGAGAAGCCCATTACTCAAGTTACTGCCGATTCCTACTAACGCCTCCTCTGCCAAGTAAGGGTAAGTGTGGTTCAAGATAAAAAATGGTGTAGCTTTGTTTCAAAGTGCACCTTGTCACACCAAGCACTCAATTTCCCTAAGCTTATTTTCTCCAACATAAAAATGGCAAATAACAACTCGCATGCACAATTAACTACGCCATGACAGTAAAGAAATAGCACTTTGTGCACCATAGTGTAAGTGACTGCCTGGGTGTGACCGTTGCCTGATCAAAATACAAGGGCCACATACCACTGAGAAGGTGCGTATTTCTTAAGGCTGAACCTTAAGATTAAAAAGAGACACATTCCACTTCATTACCCAAGAATGGAAGAAGGACAATCTACATGGGGGAAAGGATCAGAAATATCCCACTCTGGGAGAAAGGGGACCCGCCACACGAGCTCCGGGACTCTCCACAACCTGTCTCTCTCAACAGCGGCCCTCCCTTGCTAGCCCTTTATCTTTAAATGGATGAATTTAGCTTCCCGTTTTTCCTCTGTGGTGTGAGGGACTCGGTTATCTACCTCCTGGGTCAAATGAGCTATTGGCTGTAAAAGGCTAAGCCTAAAAGCTGGGCCCAGAATATGCTCTGCACAAATGCTGGCTATTACATTATTCTTCCCAGGTTGCCCTTGGAGTGATTCCTCTATGGTTCATTTACTTTAGCCTGTAGATGAACAAATACAAGCAAGCAACTCCCAGAGCACTCCCACAGAAATTGCTTTGAATGAAATCCGTACACTTGCGATAAAAAAGTTTGGCGAAAGAATAGATTTTGTGGTAAAAACAATAACTACATCGTAAATCTGTTTTTATAATAAGTAATAAAACTTTGGGATTTGGGATCCAGCCAAGATTGATGCCTCTCTATCCCAGCTGCCCATAAAATCATTTGGAGAGACTTAAAAATACAAGGTACCAGCTCAGCTGAAAACTGATACATAAGGAAGACAGTTGTCCCATCTTGCCATTATAAATTGTATTTTCAGGAAACTAAGTAGCCCACGAAGACAAAACAAAGTTCTGTATGAAATAATTTTAGATAATATATAGGTTGAAAAATACGAGACGATCACTTTGCAACTATTAACGGAATAATAGATATCAATGAATGACACAAGCATGAGGCGTAAGGTTAACAAGGAATCCTACAATGAAACAGGCTCCCACCACCTGAAGGGCCGGTCTCTCTTACCACTGAGTGACAGAGAAGGACAACAGATCACATTCCCTGAGAGAGGATGTGACTGAAATGACTAAAGGGGCGGGGGTGCTGGTGAGGGATGAGGGACTTAGCGAGAGGTGACAGGAAGACAGGAAGAAGGTAAACAAGACAGGGCAAAACAGGAAGAAAAAGGAGGTTGAAATGAAGGAAAGCCTAGAGAGGGGAGGAAAAAGATGTACTAAAACAGGTACAGAGAAGACAAAAAAGGAGAGGGATATCCAGGCGGGGGGAGGGCAGCAGGAAGGTGAGTGCAAAGTGAAAGTACCATTAAAGTCGTGAAGCCCCAGAGATCTCAATAGCGTTCCAAGATGGTCTAGTTCCTAAATCTAGTTAATCCATGAACTCAGTATGTTCTTGTACTTCAGTAACTAGGCACCTCATTTTCCTAAGATGACCTTTTCGGTTTGCTCAAGGTAAGCAGTGTCAGTTCTGCTATAAAATCTTCAGAATTCTGACTAATAATAGTAGAAATCAGAGAACAGAAAACTAAGTGATTCAAATCTGGAAACTCTACAATGGTGACTTACAATGACGGCTTATTCACAGATAATCCCATTGACGTGGCATTAGAAAATGAATGCAGTCTATAATTTATTTCCATGATGAAATGCTTTCTTTCATTCAATGACTATAAATTTGAATGGTAACAAGAACTTAATTTAATTTTTCAGTGGTCAGCAAAAAAATTAGCAAGCAGAAAATCTGATAGGATAAACACATTCTCTACACATTTTAGAAATATAAATCTCAGTGGATGAAGACATGGGAGGGAGGGAGGGAGGGAGGGAGGGAAGAAAGGAAGGAAGGGAGGAAGGAAGGAAGGAAGGGAGGAAGGAAGGAAGGAAGGAAGGAAGGAAGGAAGGAAGGAAGGAAGGAAAGGAAAGGAAGGAGAGAGGGAAAAGAAGGGAGGGACGCAGGGGAGGGAAGGAAAGCTGATTCATCCTAGAGACTGAGTGTTAAAGTCTCTGCAAAATTCATGTTAAAACTTAATCTTTAATGTCTTAAAATTTAGATGTGGTACCTTGGGAAGTAGTCAGGTCATGAAAACAGCCCTCATGAACATATCAATACTTATAAAAGACCCCCACGCACCATGTCAGCCTTCAACCATGTAAGGATACAGAAGATGACTGTCCATGAATCAGGAAGAATCCACACCAGACATCAAATCTGTTGCTACCAAGACAGTCGACCCCCTAGTCTCCAGAACTGTGAGAAATAAGTTCCTATTGTTCAAAAGGCAGCCAGTTTATAGTAGTCTAGCATAGCAGCCCAAATAGAGTATTTCAGCTCAGGCGGTGCTGCAAACTTGGTAATAACTCCAAAAATACTGCATAAACAGCACAGACATGCTGATGTAAAATACCTCAAAAGACACAGAGTAGAAAATGGCTCATCTGCCATCTTGCCTTAAAGAATTTATTTCATTCTTCTCCTATCCCACCAAACTGACTGGTCTGAAACAAGAATTCTTGTGAGAATTAAATGTGGCATTGTACATGCAAGCCTTCCTCTCTCTCTCTCTCTCTCTCTCTCACACACACACACACACACACACACAAATGGACCTCTAAATGGAAAATATTAAAATATTTTAAAAGTCTATCAATAGCATAAACAAGATTGAAGACAGAGTGTTAATATAAAACAAGCTATACGAAGTAATTCAGAGCTTAGCTTCTTCTAATTGATGGGCTAATTATATGTATCAGAAAAATAACAAAACTTAATTTCTATAAGATTGTTCTGTGATTCTGATTTTTAGTTAATTCAGACAGGTGTTGCATACAACTCATCTAAATTATCCAGCCTTTATTGCAATGCTATTAAGCTGCACAGGAAAAAAATTAAATGAACCCAAAATGGATCTATTTGCTGATACAAAATTTCATTATAAGTCCTTCTCATTAAGTACACTCATTTTCATCTTAGCCTCATACCAGTTCTCTGCTTCCCTGACCTTCAAAGCAGCATTACTTCAGGTAGAAAACTATAATTCGGACATCAGGCCTACAGGGAGATACTTTCAGAACTTGGAAATGTGTTCACCTTCTGCTGCTGAAGACAAAACAAATGTGAAAACATAAGCTCGATAAGCTTCGTGAGAAAGGATGTGCCGGTCTGTACGTGAGCCAGGTAGAGACAGCCCTGACTCCAGAGTGAGACTCAAAGGCCAGTTCCTCCATTGCTTTGGGGGGTCATTTTGGGATTACTGAACAACTCTCTCTCTCTCTCCTTCTTTCTGTTATGTGGGGAGAGCAACAGTGATTGTCTCTTAGAAAAGGTGAAGCGTTCCAACTCGTTGCTGGACACCTAGCCCTAGGCCCACAGGTCAGGCACAGTCACCCCTTTGAGTACCTCAGCAGCAGCATCCCAGGATGTAATCTCAGGAACAGGACAACTTTGCCCAAACTGGGATCCTCCTGCTTCAGCCTCCCAGAACACTAAGATTAATACCTGCATCACCAGGCCTGACCCACTTCAGGCTTTTAAGCAAACACTAACTCAAGCTCCAACTTTTACTGTCAAGTGTCACAAAGAAAGCAAATCTCCAGGATCTTTCTACGGAGATGTAGAAAGACAGAAGAACATTTTTTCACATACTTTGTATACAGTCTTCTCCTCAAAAGAAAGCCTAAACTTGAAAAAAATTATTTCCTAGAGATATTTCAATTTCCCTTCTTTAAAGACCCGTGCTTCAGCAAGAACTCCCAAACCACCCTTGTAATCCAAATCCTATTTGGTCCTGCAGTGAAGTCAAATGTGGGATCCTGACATCAATTTGTTGCCATGGAAATAATTGAGATGTCAATGTTTCCACATTATGACTGTACCACAAGAGCAGATGGGCTGATGAGGGGAAAATCTTTGCAAATATCTCTCTAATAATTAGCCCAAGTGTGAGGTACTATTCTAAATTTACATTACTATCATACTTTATGCAACATCTATCTACACAGCACACAACACAACCAATTTCAACTTGCAAATCTGCTAGTGGAAAACGTTATCGAATTACACAAACAGAAAGGAAAAGAATATTCTTTTGTGTATCTGATTGCTTTCTTGCTTGTGGTTTCACTTCTTGCACTGCAGATAACTATGTGACCAAGTTCAGAAGAAATCAGGTTTGACCAAAGCAAATTTTATTCCGCATGAAGAAGCCGATGACAATGTTGGATGAGTTGAAGACTCCGGGTTAGTTTTCATTTCTCAGTACTGTCTTTTAGAAGCGTTTTCCTTGTGAAGAAGACAAACACGGCTAAACTATCAGGCAGCTAATGACCTGCAATTTATTTTTGCTATAAAAATGGTTGCCATGTCCTGTATCTGCCATTGTCTTATGAATTTATCCAAGAAAACTACACTGAATTCAAAGACTTAATCCTTTCCTATATCTTTCACATTACTTCACCCTGTCTCCTGGACCGAGATGAATTACAAGTCATTTGTACATTCAGCTGCACAGAAGTTTTACCTAAAAATAGCAATAGTTAGTTTCCCTGGATGAGAAGAGGTGTGCAGATTGTATGTGTATACAGGTGCAGATGCACACAGCAATGTCCTAGTTGTGGAGTTTAACAGTGTCACTGTTCCACTCTTCACAAAGTACCGTCCTTTGGAACCTCTCCCTCTACTACCCCCGGGAGCCCTTTTTATCCAAACATGAAAATGTTGTTCCTCCCTATCGTGGGCTAATTACACCATCTGTTTAGCCACAGCACTATTAATGTTCACGCCTTCACACTCCCACGTGCGCTGCCCCCAGACTCCTCTACTGTCAGATGTACGAGCAGCAGAGAAGGGAAGGAAATCGGTCTGCAGCTTCTCCACCTCCCCACAGTGCTCTGCGCAGGGAGGAGGACTCAGGCCTCTCGCCGTCCCTCTCCGCGTTCCTGGTGCAAACCGCCAACGTGAACAATTCCGACAAGGAAGGCAATCGAACCCCCTTCCCTCTACCAACCTAAAACCTGGAAAATTCAGAACTGCCCTGGGAAAGAGAAAATGACAGTACCAGCCACGAAAGGCCAGCTAAACACTCCGTCATCTGACAGGCACTGCTTATCCCTGAAACTGACCCAAAAGCAGCAGTCCCCGGAAGCAAGCACAGCTGCGCATGTGGGGTTCCTTGCCCACAGTTCAAGCGACTGCAGCGACTTCGCACTGGAGAAGCGAGACCCAAGCACTGCCCCACACTCCGATGATGGCGGAGAAAAAAGAAAAATCTCCTCTCATGAGCACACCCAGCTCTTGCAAGGAAACCGCCAAGTTTTCACGTCCTTTTTTTCGAACAAAATGGATCTCAGTCTACGTTACTTTTATTCCTGTTCAGTTACATATTTATGTTGCCAGTTAGAGAAGTAAGCCGTGTCAAAAGGGAGGAAAAGACGACAAAATGCACACTCAGAAGACCAAATATAAAAAGTTAACTTAAAACTTTGCCCTTCACAGCTATCTTTAAAAGAACATGATGAGAGAAAAAAAAAAAAATGTAAGCACAAAGAAATGGTTTAAAAATGACTCTTCCACATTCATCTTTTTACATTTCTTCTAATGGGCCAATTTAATCAAAATGTTTTTCTTCAGCACACAGTTCCCGGCATTGTCCAGAGTTGTTACAAAGGAAGAAAATACATATTTATACACCTCAAGCATAAATAGTTACCTGTAACAACATTATGGAAATGATTGTTCCCTTTTGATATTCCCTATATATATGACATCCAAATGTCCTAATGAAAAACAGCAATTCCTCAGAGGCTGGAACATCACTGATGATAAAGAAATAAGGAAAAGCTATTAGAGAAAGCATTAAAATCACACTTAAATACATTTGCCTAACAAGTGCCCTTAGGGGGAAAATCACTAAAATAGTGGTTCTGCACAAATACCAATTTAAAAAAAATAAAAATTATAAGTGCTTACAAAAGCCTCAATACACATTGACCCATTTCTTTTCATTTTTTAAGATAAAAGGAAACAGCTACTGTTGTTATAACAAGAACATACATTTTAATAATGAGGAAAGCTAAATTAATACAGGGCAATGAAATTATTCCTGAAAACTGGTACAGGGGGAGGAGTTTGCCAAATACAAACTTCATTGTTATATATAGAATGTGATTTTTAGTCTTGCAACAACCTTTGACGTATAATTTACATTCCCACAACTTTTTTGTTCATTTGTTTTTTGAAAAAAACAGGGGCTTGCTATGTAGTTTAGTCTGGCCTTAAACTGTGTAGCCTAGGCTAGCCTCAAACTCTTGGTAATACTCCTGTCTCAGCCTCCCAAATGCTAGGACAAAAAGTGTGTTCATCATGACCGGCTTCATAAACTCGCATTTCTAGGCATTTAAATATATGCACAGTTGGGCAACAATCATCGTTATCTGCTTCATCTCTTCTAAAAAGCGGGCACATTTACTCAGAGTGATCTTCACTCTCCCTCTCTTCTCCCTCAGGTCACCACTGGGCTCTTTCAGTCTCCACAGATTTACGTGCTCCACACAATGCATGCATAACTACAGTTACACAGCCTACAGTCATTTACATATGGATTTTTCCACTTTGTACAATGATTTGAGGTTCATCTACCTGAGAACATGTACCAGTGTTTAGTTACTTCATACTACTGCGTAATATTCCATCTCAATTTACTTTTAAAGAAAATTTTAGGAGTTTTTCAGTTTTCTAAACTCAGGACACTGTGAAAATATTTTTGGAAGAGTAAAAATAGAAAGTAAAATGGGCAGGAAGAGCCAGGCATGGTGGCAAACAACCACAGTCCCTGTGATTTGGGAGGCTGAGGCAGGAGGATCACTGGAGCACAGGAGTGTGAGGTAAGCTGTGTCACACAGAGAGACCCGGTCTCAAAAGAAAACCAAAAATGGGCAGGAAGGTGTCTTGAGGGTTAGTAGAAAAATCAGTACAACAATCCAAAACAGCGCTTTCCAATAGAAATATAATTAAACCCAGATACATCTAGCTCTAAAATTTCTAGTGGTTGCATTTTAGAAAGACAGCAAAGCACAAGAAATTAATTTTCATAATGCTTTAGTAGTCAGATACTTCCAAAACACCGTCCCTTCAATATGTAAACAATGCAATCCACACTTGTGAGTTGTTCATGTGCCTTCCCTCCTATACACCTGCAAAGCCACTTCCGTGCACCGCAGAAGTCCATGCAGACCGGCCACTTTTCCCTGGCTCCAAAGGCGTGTACAGCCTCACGCTGCCTGGCGGAGGTACAGACCAGGAAGTGGGGGAGCAGAAGAGCCCATCACAGAAAGATGAAAATGGTTATAAAAGGTAAGGGAAAAGAACTTGGTAACGGGAAGAGGGAGAACAAAAGACTGTCAGGAGAAAAAATACATTGGCACATTTTAATTTCAACATTGAACTGTTTTAATACCACATCTGCACACCCAGGAAAGCAAGATCCATGGTACGATAACTAAGCAGGCTGGCAAGGGAACTACTAAGAAGGCAACAGCGTACACCTGTTCTCAGGAAACTCAAAAGTAAGTTAGAAGGTGCTGTTTCCTGGGCTATGTCTGGGCTCCTTTCAGGAAGTCCTCGCCCGTGCTTATGACCTCCAGAGTTTTACTTATTTCATCTTCCAGCAGATTAAGTCTTTCACATTTAGTTCTTTGATCCACTTTGACTGTAGTTTAATATAAGTTGGGAGATATGGGTCTCGATTCAATCTTCTGCATGTGGACAGCCAGTCTTCCCGGCACCATTTAGTAGAGTCTACCTTTCCTCCACGGTATGTTTTTGTCTCCTTTATCAAAGGTCAAAGAGTGGAATGAGCCTGGGGTTTTTCCTATGGCCCTTATTCTGTTGCACAGATCCTTGTTTGTGGTTGGTGCCAATCCCATGCTGCCGTAGCTCTTATCATCGTAGCTTTGTAAGATAACTGCAAGACTACAGTGGTGATTTCTCCTGCTTTGCTCTTATATCCAGGATGCCTAGTTTCCCTTATATGAAAAACCCAAACTACAAATAAACCACAAACTACAAATAAAACACAAAATAGAAGATAAGTAGGACATAGGGAAATAGAGCATTCTCAGACGGAAAGAGGATCAGAGACTGCGGGAGGGGAGGGACAAGCATGAAGAAAGAATTAAGATGTGTTGTGTACAGGTATGTAGATCAACACCACACATGGAATGAAACGTTATGAACTGCAAATACCTACCAATATTTTAAAAAATACAAATAAAGGATAAGGTGATGTCTCCTACTTGACAAATGCAAATAAAGTGATACAGAAGTGTTAGAATCTACTCAGGACTGGAAGGTCCAGCACTTCAAATTAAAAGTCCCAGGCTGGAGCTCTGATCACCTGACAGCATCCAGGCTGGGGAACCCACCCTTAATCACGAGAGCAGTACCTGGATCTGCTTCTATTTGCTGGGTGTCTCCGATGTCCCTATCTCTTGTTCCAACTACTAAGGCCTTCATTTTTCTGTGTAGTGAATCACAGTGCCAAGCCTAGCCCATGCTCAGCAACCGCTCTAGACTTATCAGTACTTAGTTCTACATCCAATGAGTTTTCTTTTTCTTTTCTGTGGTATTAGGGATAGAACTCAGAGTCTTGTACATGGTCAACAAGCTCTCTACCATCGAGCTATACTACCAACTTCTCTGCACGACTAAATCCTACCTTATTTGGTTTTATAGCAAACAAACTTATACTTTAATAATATGCCTTCTTATAAGAAACCACTTTGAAGATATCAATATGTAATACCACAGCATTGTTAATTTCCTACCACTTTGTCTGTAACTCTATACTGTCTGTACTGTTCTTTTGCTATTTTGTAAAAGGTTGTCTGTCTCTTAATGTTTCCTTCCTTTTATTTAAAAATAATAATAATAATAATAATATGCCTTCTTTAAACAATACAATTAAGGTAGCTGTTAATTAAAAGGTGAAAATATAAAATCATTGCCATTTAAGTTTCATTTAGTTTCTACAAGACAGTGCATTTTTCTCTATTTAAATCAAATTTTACTTTGCAGGGGGCAAAGCAATTCCCGTACTGGGAATTGAACCCAGTGTCTTCCACTGAGCTACATCACCAGCCCTTTTTAATTTATTTTTTTGAGAAAAGGTCTCCCAACGTTGCTAAGGCTGGGCTTAAAATTGCAATCCTCCTGTGTCAGCCTCCCAGAACGCCTGGATTACAGGCATATGCCACTATACTCAGCTCAAATTTAACTTTTATATAAATGATTCCACCCATGAATTCCACCACGAACTTAGAATCAAAATTACCCCTGGAGTGCAAAGCACATATTCATTACTGCGTAATAGCTCCGGCAATGGGCCAAATTACAACGAACACAGAAGTTTAATACATCTTCATATAGTTAACAATCGCTTCAACTGGCAAATCATTTCAGAAGGCACAAACTCAACGTTCAAGTCAGAGGGACAGGCTCACCTCTAGACAGAGAGAGAATGTAGGGCCGTAAGCTAGCTAAACACTGCCACAGGGGCCAAAGTCAATTGCATAAAAGCTGAGGAGCTTGTGGGAAAGAAAATGGTGTATTGATTTCTTTAAATGTCCCCTGGTGTGACGTGCCCTAGGGACATAGGGAATCAACAAAGCAAAGCCCATCTCTGACATCTGCTGTAATTATGTGACTCTAAATCATAAGTAATGAATTAATAATTTTAAGATATGCATATCACAAAAAGTCCTCTGGAAGCTTTACTTTAGTTTTTAAAAACATGACAGATGGCCCCACGAAGCTGCAGCACCTGCCCAGAGAGCACCTGCAACAAAGGTTAACTCCTCCAACATGTCACATATAACACATTTTTTTTTAAATTTTGAAGAAAATAGGATCATCTCTGTTAAAAAAAAAAAAATGAAGACAAGAAAATAACCAAAGTACAGCAGGCTGCAGGAGCAGCAATAGCAGGGACTGCAAAGGTTGTGGATGGAAAAGTTAAAACCAACTCATTCCCTCTTCTTCGAGTTCTTTTTTTCCACTGAATAAAGGTTGGAGCTTTGGCCACGGGCAGCGCCGCTCTCGCTTGACGTAGCACGCGTCACTGTGCGCAGTTAAGACCTTGCAGGAAGCAAGCGTGTCTGATGTGTTATTTCCAGCCCGGGCAGGTAGGCAACGTGAACCAATGGAGGGTAAAGCAAAGGGTGCAGCTCGCCTGGAGAGAGTGATGGAGTCAAAGCTGTCCTGAAAACTCCCTGGGGCTGGACAGGCCACTCAGCTTGGAGCACCTGCGGGATGCAGGAAGTGACCAGTTCAATACCCCGCCAAATGCATGCATGCACGCACACAGTCTCCAACTACGAAACCGTTAAACAAAATCTTAACCGGAAAAGATCACAAACAATTTTTTTTAAAAAACAAGCAGTTCATTTGTCCAGCAAAGTTAGAGTAAAAATAACTGTACGAATTTAGAATTTTGTAAGCACACATTTTAAATTCGAATTACTTTTTTAGTATTCTGTATTAGTACTGGCTATCACCAGCACTTTTTAAAAAAATTAATTAAATCAAAAGACTACAAAAAAATGACTACATGATCTTTGGAAAGAAAATTGGCACGATTCTGAATTCAAAGGTATTTATTTACTTTTATTGATGGAGGGATTTCTTAAGGTTGCAAATATAACTAGACCTGTTTATATATGTTTCAGAAAGACTAAAAATTTGGGGAAACTTTTTTAACCTTATTTTTAATATAATCAATAAGTTGCAAATGTAAATTTTATGTATTTTCTTTTCTTTTGGGTTTCTTAAGAATAGATCTGGCTATGGTATTCGGGCTTAGTCTTGAACTCACTATGTAGCCCAGGTTGGACCCAAACGTGGGGCGATCCTCCTGCCTCAGCCTCCCGATTTGAGGTGTATGCCCCATGCCTGGCTGTAATTTATGTGAAGGTACTAGCCTACCATTA